CATGCATGACTGCAGCTTCCCATTGGTAGTTATCTTGTTTGTCATTTGTTTTGGCCACTATTATTTCCCCTGTCCTCAAGCTTTTGTGCAACAGCCACCCTAGACAAATGATTATAATTGCTAAGTAGAAAATACTTCTGATTAATTTGAGTTATTTCTAGTGTTTCTTGTTAACCAAAATCAGTAGAATAGGTTTTATGTTCTGTTTTGTTTTGTTTTTTACACAGTATGTGGTAATGTACTTCATAAGAATCTATAGTTTTTAAATCAGGGGCACTTTGGTTTTTCTTTGTATTCATTTAATAGTACAAATACTTCTTTGCCTTCACAAGATTGATTTGTAGCCAGAACTACTGGCTTGTTGAGATTATAACATTATGTTTGCCACCAGCATTGCTAATACAGCTGCTCTAGGCATGCTGATTGATTAGCCACACCAAAATTTGATTCTAGCTTGACAGCCTTCGCTGTTTCCATTGTATTCTTTTGAGGGTATACATAGTACTTTTCTCTTTAGATGGTAGATTTAAAATAGATTCAACTGGATTTTTCCTTCTTAGTACTGTTTTGAAACATTTGCCATATAATTCTTTCAGAAATCTGTTTCACCTGTGATGTGTATAAAAATAATTTGTCTATAAAACATTTAAAATAGGCCATCCTGTGTAATATGAAATTGTTACTTTATTTCTCCAAAGTAACATATAAAAATATATTCTTGTGCTATTGGGACTTTTCAAAATTTGTAGTTTTGGCTCTAACTGTTCAGTATTGGCCTGGTTTATTTTGTCAGTAAGCAATCTTTTCTGGCTTCATAGCTCAGTCTACCCCTACATTAGCAGCCTGTATGGAGAAAGATACATATTTGGCAGTTGTGCCCAGTATGCCAATAAAAGGTGTGTTGCTTTATGTTCACTCTTAAACTAACTTAGAATGGCATATGCAGTGGATATGCTGGAATCCTGCAGAGGACAGCTTCCCCACCTGGGCCTTTGAAGGGGCTTCATTCGTATGTACTCTACAAGGTTTCTGTCAAGTATCTTTAACTGCCGAATTCAGTCTATAGTGGGAATGTCTATTCCCCTTTCTGCTTCACCCTGAACCTCTGAAAGTTGTCACTTTAAAATTGATGTTTGTTTCCACCCCCCTCCAAATTAGCCCCTTTTTTGGCAGTTAGAAATGTAATCTCTGAGGAATCTTCAAAGTGAAAAAAAATCTATAAAATGTATAAAAATCTGAAAAATCTGTACATGGATGTGTACAGAATGAAAATCATGAGTGCTTCCAAAAACGTATTTTCAGTTCCCTCTTCTGTATTATCTTCCTTATGATAACCTACATTTTGTTATGACAGGTCTTACATATACCTAGTCCAATTCAAGACTGATTTAAATGAAGTTCTTGTGGTTATTCTGCAGGTCAGCATGTTTATGTCACAAGCCCCACATCATACTGCCATAGAAAGAGGGAGTAATACTATGGGGCAGGCGTGGCCCAGGTGAGCAAGGGCTGTGCATTCAGCAGACTGATTCATCACACCACCTGACCTGGTTATCTTCACAATACATTGTCTAGAGCTTAGCGTCTGTCACCAACACAAAATTAATTGAAAATGTCTATCAAAGTATGAATCCCCCCACCTGCCTAGATATATGATGGGCACCATATTTATAAATGACAGATTCAGAATCTGTCAAATCAAGGCATCAATAATCTACCCAGAAAACTCTCTAAGCATATAGACCCCTACAAATGATAGCCCAATGAGTCTCTGCACCAAAAGTCTGAGCAAGACAGTCTGCTTTTACATAGTGAAGATGGTTTCCATTGCCGCTGTGAGGGACCATGATTCCCCAGTGACCAGCTGCTGTGCTTGAGACTACACACAGCTTGCGTTCCTGGGAAGATGGTTTCCTTTTGCTGCCTGCAGCACACAGAGGCCACTGTCTAGATATGGATGTCCAGTGAACCATTTTTGTCACATGCACTACCATCCCTCACAATATAGCACCTCTCCAAAGTCTAGATGCCAGGAAGCCCAGAGAGGGACTGAGAAAGCACTGTGGTATTTAGTCATCTTTCTACAGTTAAAGACTTCATAAATGAAAACGATAAAACTGTGTCACACAGGTAGCATAGTGCTGTTAGACTTTTATCAAATGTTAGCAGAGTTAGAGGACCTCTGGAGAAAGAAGTATGATACACTGGACAGCAGTGACTAAGAATGAGCAGTGGTGTTGTAGGAAAGAACCGTAACTAGGGTTGGATGTTATTTCATTTAATCATTTGCTTGTTGAATTTTATATTCTGATTCTCTGTTCTACCCTATTATAGACAAGTCTCATACATATTGGTTACACTCTTTATGAAACAATTTGATGAAAGCTTGAAAAGGTAACATGCTTTACAGTGCCAGTGTATAGTAATAAATATGTTCTCTATCAACTCATTGCTTTTACATATGCTTTTATTAACCATTCTGTGCAAAGGTTAATTGGGCCTAGATCTCCTTCTCACAAGGCTCAAACACCTAGAAGAACTTATACATATGAAATTGAACACATCCAGGAGGGAGCTCAGTACTGTACAAGGCACATGTGTGGCTTTCATCAAGATGGCAGAGGTGACTTCTAGCCTGGAAAAAGGAGAAAGGGTAATACCCACTTAAATGGATCTTAGAGAAAGGATCAAAATTGAAACAATCAATAACTTGGAAAAAGTCTTCCAGAAGATAGCCTGTTCGGAAATAAAATGTGCCCGAGTGGTTTACCTGCTAAGAAATTGAGAGAATGACCCAACAGGAAGTGCTTCTGAAACTGACATGAGTGGTGAATTATTTAGTATGGGAGTGAAAACGTCAGAAGGGAACCAGGATACTTGAATTAGTACCAGCAGTTCTCAGGATGATGCTGATACCCAAACCAGATAGCCTGTGTTTGTAGCTCCTACACAATACCCTTAGCCATGTCTGATGATCTACAGGGTATCTGATGCCAGCGGACAAGCTCATGTCTGGCTGGGCCTTGTAGTCAACCCTCCATAGTAACCCAAGTGGGTCCTCCGCAAGCTGAGGCTCCAAGTCCTGAATAACAGACCCTCTCTCAGACGTTTACTTCTGCTCTCCATTTACCAGACTTCTGAGAATGAGCTTTCTAAGCCATCATTGAATATTGGTACAGAAGTTCTTTGAATTGTTTGTTATTAGGGAAAGGCAAATCTTAAGCTTTTAATACTTTGATTTTTTCCAACTAGTCCATGTTTATTTGAATTTTTCTACAAGGCAGAAAGTCTACTGAAAATAGATACATTAAAAGAATAGTAGATTGGTTTCAGAAAGTGATTTATATTCATCTTTTAAGGAATCTCTTATAAAATGTTGACTGTGAGCCAGAGATTTAGCTCAGTGGTATAAGCACCTGCCTGGCAAGCATGAGGTCATGAGTTTGATCCCCAGTACCAAATAAATAAATATAAAATATTGATTGTTAATACATTAAGAGCTGCTACCTGATAGTTTAATGATAGTAGAGCAGGAATTAGAATTAATGTGGAACAGAGAAAGCCTTCTTAGCTTTACTTTTAATAGTAATATTACTCACCAAAATGTTGAAAAGTTTTTAAGGATACCTATTCACATAAGGAACACTTGACTATAAAGACACAGCTTGGTTTCTTTTCTCATTGTTGAGACAAACTACCCAATACCCAAAGTTGAAGGCAGAAAAGTTTATTTTGGCTCTCACAATTTGTAGAGGTTTCAGTTCATAGTTGGCTGGCTGCAAGGCAGGATGGCATGACAGAAGGACATCACAGGAAAAACAGCTCATGGCAGGCAAAAGGTAGCGAAGTGGCAAATCAGCAAATGACAAGCAGCAACAGCAATATTCTTTCTTTCCCTTATATTTTATCTGAATTACCTGGTCTTAGGGTGCGTAAGAGCACATCCTGGGTAGGACACCCTTAATTCTCACATTAAACTATGAGTCCATCATAGCATCACATCCTTAATCTAAGGATCACACACTGTAGATCCAGCCACCTCAGAAAAGCCCCACATATGACCTCATGAAGCTTTGGAGCGCCTGCTAGATGCAAGCCTTAACAGTGGAATATTTTAAAAGTTTTTACCATACTGGCACTATCTCATTGCATTAGAATTATTCCCAGGAGAAGACGACCAATGAGCCATTTAAATCTTGCCCCTACCCATCTCATTATCAGTAAGAGTACCCTTTTCTTTGCAAGGATAAAGAAAAGTTGTCTCTTGCCAACCAACCATAGGACAAAACTAAATTGGTAAGAGGTGATGTCATCATGTGTACTGTGAGGGGCAACTGTTGTGCCAATTAGGGACACTAGCTTATATAGCTAATCTAAGTGCTTGTCTTCTCCTGTAACAGAGAAGTTCTACCAAGAATGAGTAGAACTCAGGTGTCCACTATGTAATTTGACTAATAAGAAATTGCTATGTTTCTAATAGACTCTTAACTTGGAAAAGTTAAATAGAGTTGAGGGCTTTAGCAGTTCCTTCTCACTTCATTAAATCAGAAAATTTAGGGCAAAGACATTTTTCAGTAATATCCCCACTTGTTTTTTCTTTTTTGACATCTGGTTTTGATGTGAAGATGCTAAGTAGTGTTAATTAGACAGGTCTTGTTAAACCTTAGACATTAATTTTACTTGCTTTTGTAATTCCTGTTCTTATTTCAATTTCCCTATTCTTGTTTATATTTCTCTACATAACTAGTAAGTTGGAACAGTCGATATGATTATGAATGTGTAATTTATTTGTGTAAATGTAATAGATGAAGTTTTTGAATGATGTTTTGAACATTTATATAATAGTAGAGTTCAACATCTGTCTCTAGGAAATAGTCCATTTTTAGAAAACATGAAAAAGAATAACCCTACCCTTCTATGAGTGCATTGAGTTGACTATCAAGACAGACTGCCTAATATGCATGGTCAATACATGTTCCTGTGGTTTTATCTTCATATAGGCAAGGCAGTTTTCCTGGCATGAACCAGAGTGGACTCATGGCTTCCAGCTCTCCCTACAGCCAGCCCATGAACAACAGCTCTGGCCTAATGAACACACAAGGGCCGACTTATAGTATGACACCAGCTATGGTGAACAGCGCGACAGGTAACCTGGCAGCTCTGTCCCAAGGACTGCTTTGTCTTCCCCTTTCCTCCTAGGTTTCCAAAAGGAATATGCCCAGACAGGTAAAGGCAGATAATGGAAATACTTCCCTACTTCTGGTAAACTGTTCAGTCTTCTTGAGACTTAAAGATTGTTACATTTTATGTAAATTGTTTTATTCTTTCTGTGTTTGTATAAGATGTGCACATTATTTCCAGTATCACTGGAGCTTGTTTGCTGGACACCAAGTACTCCTTATCTTTGAGAATTATTAGCAGTATTAGAACATCCCAAAACAAGAACTCACCATTTGACAGGAGTAAAGATAAACATTCGGAATCCACATTTCAGAGGAAGTGATTGAAGAGCAGAACAGGGGGAATTTGAAGAGGTTTTTTTCCATTTAGGGAGACACCTTTAAATGTATGTATGGAAACAGTGACTTTATGAGTACTATTTGCAGATTATCTCTATAGAAAAACTGTTTAAAATGTTTCATATGTTCTTTAAATGCACTTTCTAATCTCAGCAGCTTTATTCTTTAAAAAAAATCACCTCTGATTGTTACATTTGAAGTAGTTTGTAAGTTTGGGGAAGACATCAAGAATGTCTGCAGCCTCCCATGTTCTCGGCTCTGAGACCCTTGAGCCTGACAACTAGTGATCCTCTCCGTAAGTTCCTGCACTGCCCAAAGATAAAGAGTGCTGATTCTATAGTGAGACAGTGCAGTAAATATGGCTGAATGGCAGAGACCCTTCTGGTGAGATTTGCTCCTTTAGTTAGTACAGAATTCAGTTTAGCTATTGTGTGTGCAAATTTTAAAAAGAGAGAGAGAGAATAAAACTGAATAAAGCAAAACAGAATAAAGCTAATCAGAACAGAACAACGCAAGCAATATCTCTTTTGGCTCTTAATACAAAGCTACGAAGAATATGCCTAAGGCTTGCCTCACAAAGGGTAAACATACTGCTTGGGACACCCTGAGAAGCAAGGCTTTGAGCTCATGTATGTATGTGTGCAGCAATCTGTTCTCAACTGTATGTAATGCCCCTTTGGTAGAAAACAAAATAGGATGTGTGATATTACCTCCCACATGCCCCAGCTACATTGAAGCCAATCAGATTTTTATCTGCAGATTTGACTTGGTAATATACACTGCTGGGGCAGTCAAGTAAAGTAGCCAGATAACAGCCCTACTACACTGACCTGATGAGTAGCATCTAAGTGAATTATCCTTTTTTAAAAAGAATTTTTAAGAGAAAAAGTCAAACAAAATGAAACAGAATAAAGCCGATCAAAACAGTAAAAATAGTATAGGACTTCAAAACAAGATAGTAAGAAATCAACAATGGCTGCTATAATGCCTCTTATAGCACAATAGCTGTGCGTACCTCAGATATATTGAAGTCAAACTATACAGAAGAAAACCAATCAAAACAAAACAGAGAAAGTGGTTATAAGATTTCAAAACAAGATGAAATCAACAATGAGTACTGTAATGTCTCTTATTTTCTTCAAAACTTCTGTCCATACCATCAGACATAATAAAATCAAACAAAACAACACAGAACAAATCAAAAATAAAACCAATCAAAACAAAAGAATAAAACAACAGGACTTCAAAAGGGGAAATAGGGAATCAAAAATGGCTACCATGATGCATTCCATTATCTTGAAAATAACTGCCCATACCATCAGACACAGTAAAATCAAACAAAGCAAGACAGAATAAAGCCAAACGTAACAAAACTATGAAAACAATAACTCAAAACAAGAAAATGGGAAGTTAAGAATGGTTACCACCTTTCATTTTTAGATGTTTCCTCCCCTATCACTTTCATAATATCTATTGTACATTTTGGATCTCACTAACTCCTTCAGTTTCTTACACTAGGAGATAACATGCTGTTCAGCCATATGAGACTGAACCGTTTCACCCATGTGCATGATCTTAAGTTACATCCATTTACCTACAAGAGCCCAGTGATTATCCTTTATAGCTGAGTAGCTTTCCATTGTATAAAAATGCCATGTCTTTCTGACCCATTCTGAGGTTGATGAGCAAGCTACTCTTGCTTTTTTCTGATTTCTTGTCACCTGGAGCATTGTTTTCTGTTCTTTGACCTTTGGTCTATGAATTTTGAGTTAAATGTGGTTCATGTGTACAGCACATTTATGGATCTATCCACTCTGTGTGTGTTTCTTTTTATTGGTGAATTGAAGCAATCTATATTAATGGTTACAACTGGCATGCATTGGCTCATCTCTGCCATGCTATCCTCCTGTTATTGCCCCCACTCCCTTTCCCCTCCAATTTCTTGCCCTATTTGGCATTCTCTCTCTGCTGCTATTCCTGGAACCATGGTCATCTTTTATGTCTCTAGAATATCTTTGAGTATTCTCCGTAGGGCTGGTTTGGTGGTCATGAATTCCTTCAGTTGTTATCATGGAAGTATCTTATTCTTCCATCAATTTTGAAAGATAGTTTTGCAGGGTACATCAATCTGGGTTGGAAGATGTTTTCTTTTAGGTTTTGAAACACTTTACTACACACTCTTCTTGACTTGATGTTTTATGTTGACAAGTCTGTCATGATTCTGATAGGTTTTCCTTTATAGATGATCTGTTTCTTTTCTCTAACAGCCTTTAATATTCTGTTTTTGTGCTCAGTTTCTAGGATCTTGATTACTCATGTCTGAGTGTAGATTTATTTTGGTTATGGCTAGCTGGAGTTGTAGATGCTTCACATATCTGTACACCAGGTCCTTTTCCTATGTTTGGGGAGTTTTCTGCAATTATTTCTGTAAATAGTCTTTTTATGTCAGTTGTGTTGGCCCCCGCTTTTTCACTGACATTTGTTATCTTAAATTATTTTTCTTTGCATTGCCTTTTGCTTCTTTATCTTGACATTTTTCTGCATTCCTCTGAATAAGCATGTCACAGGATCCCAAGCACTTAACACGTTGATTATCCCCCCACACTGTAGGAGACTGGGCCAGGTACCTGGACTTTTCCAAACCCAGTTCCCAGGGAGGCAGTGGGCCATGGGAGTGAGCTTCTCCATGCCCATGCAACTACACGAGGCGTCCCCAATGGCCATGGATGCTTGGTAGTGGGACTGCTTCTTTCAGTCTGTGTGGGCTACACAGAGACTCCCCTGATAGCAACAGATGCACACAAGCATGTTTGTGCGATTCTCCTTTCCCACACTGGCTGCCACAGGAAGCAAAGCATCTCTGGCCTGCAAGCGCACAAGATGTATCTAGCTGTGTCTCCCTGTCCATGCTGGTTACCTGAGGGAAGTAAGCTTCCCGATGACAGCATACACTCAGAGGTAAGTCTGGCTGTTTCTCCCTGCCTGCCCTGTTTACCTGCAGGAATGCGTGTCCAGATTTATGACATGTCAACAAAACATGTAATTAGAGCCCAGGCTCCCTCAACCACCTTTTTTCTATCAAGGGTGCCTTCTGCTTTCCTGGCTTCTGGGTATTGGAGAGGCCGTGCTTACTTCCTGTGTGAGCTTCTAATTCATCAATTTCTAGAGTCTCATTTAATAGTAGCATTCCCTGATTATTCTCTCAAAGGTTTGTGAAAGAGACAAACATAACTAATATTTGTAAATTTGTTATCAATAAAGTAACCCTTCCTGAACTTAAGCAGGCAGTTACTCATGAAGAAAGATGGGTATTTCACATTAGAAATGAAAGTACAATGCTCCAGAAGTTTGTTGCAACCTGCTGTTTCTCAGGTGACAGAGTCTGGGTTGTGACAATCTAAACAAAACTGTGTGTTTTGTCTTTCTTCTAGAACTGAAATTAGTTAGGCTCTTTAAATTGCATGATAAATTTTTACCATGTAGCAGTTCTCAGTTTTCCCTTTTTTGTTTTATTTTTTACTTTAAAGAGGGTTAAACAAGCCATAACAAAATAGAACAAAGCAGATTAGAAGAAAACAATGTAACTGACACAGATTTCAAAGCAAGACAACAGGGGATCAACATTGACTACCATAATGTCTCCTGTTTTCTTCTAAATAGTTGTCTATATCTTCACATACAATGAATTCATACAACACAAAATAGTATAAAACTGATCAAAACAGAGTAACGAAGGCATTACAGTCCTTCAAAACAAGACAATAGGAAAATCAACAATGGCTACCATAATGCCTCTTGTTCTCTTCAAAAGAGCTGTCCATACCTTCATGTATGTTGAAATTAAATAATACAAAACAGACTAAAGCCACTCTAAACAAAGAATAAAATCATTACACAGCATGATGGATTTCATAGCATGATGATAGGAGATCAACAATGGACACCATAATGTCTCTTTTTCTTCAAAGTAGCTGTTTATATCATTATGTATAATACAGTCGATTCTTTACTGTTTTAGAGAAGGTTTAGGCATGTATAAGCCTCTACATGTGCATCTATCCTTTCTGTATTAGAGGAAAAAACAAAAGAAAACAAATTACTTGAAAAACAAGTAACAAATAAGACATAAATAACAATAGCAAGGAACCCAAAACAATGACGATATAGGCCTTCAAATCAAGGTGTAGCAACACACTAAGACTGTTATTTTACATAATGATCTTCAAAAGAGTTCCTCCAGGGGCTGGGGATTTAGCTCAGCGGCATAAGCGCCTGCCTTGAAAGCAGGCAGTCGTGAGTTCGATCCCTGGTACCGATAAAAACGAAAAAGACAAAAAAAAAAAACAAAAAAAAAAAACAAAAGAGTTCCTCCAGATACAAACATGCAAAAGTGATCGAGTTCTACGAATGTTAACTATTTTATTCTAAGAACTAACAGAATTAGTAGCACAATCAGCTATCTTAAGTGTGTTTATACAAATTTAGGTATTTTTTCTGTTCCTTTCCTTTTTTTCTCCTCTTTTTCCCTGAGATATTGTTTTTCTACTGTGAGCAGATTCTTAACCCTTTCACATTATTTATTGAGGAGTTTGTATCTTATATGCTTTTACCATTTCTTATACTAGAG